CTGTCTGGGGTGAGGGGCTGGGGGTGGGGCCGGCCAGGGTGAGGGGCTGCAGGTTGTTTGCTGACCTGCCCCACCCCCGACAGTAATTAAATACATTGTGGTAAATCCGTTTGACGGGCTACTATGCTGTCATTAAAACCTATGATAGAAAAAGAAATGGAAAGATGGTTACATATGTTAAGTGTGCAGAAAATGAAGGTGATAAAACTGTATGGGAAATATAGTCTATTCTGACAAGTGTGAATGTATGCATGGAGAAAAGACTGGAAGGAACTGTGCATAGCTTCCATGTAAAATTATAAACTGTTAGGCCTAAAAGATGACTTGAATAAATGAAGATGAATTTAAACACATTCATGAATGAAAAGTCTTTATGTTGCAAAAATGTCAATTTGCCCCAAACTAATGTATACATTTGCTATTCTAAATCCTTGAGGGAATTGAAAGGGGGAGCAGAATAAAATGATCTTAAATTTGTGAGAATTGTCAAAAATTTTTTAAAAAGAAAAATGAAGGGAAATTTACTCTATTAGATGTTAAAATGCATTAAAAAGTAATAATAATTGAAATAATATAGTGATATTTTGTCATGAAATAGATCATTGAAACAATAGAAAATTTGGAAACATTCAAATACAAATTTATTATATTTTATATGAGTCCAATTTATGGTTAAAATGGCACTGTAAATTAGTGGGGAAATATTTTACAACAAAGTTTGAACTCTATATTACACCAAAATAAATTCCTAAGAAATTAAGGATTTAAATTTAAGCTATGATGCGTAAAGTGCTGTGTGACAAGTGTGACAGCATGACTGAATGTATATATTGTGGTTTAGCAAAACTTTAAATGTGGGAAACATGATTGACTCTAGTTGAATGTAAGCTTTGTGAAGGTAGGGACTTAGTCATATTCATCACTGTGTCAGTCTCATTGTAGGCACTAAATAATTAATTGAATAAATAAATGAATTTACATAAATGTATTTAAACTTTCCTATATTGATAAAATGCCATGTGTAAAATGTAAGTGTGAATAAACTGAGGAAGGATTGATATCCTTAGATGATATCCAGTTCATAAAATGGCTTGATTTATATCAGAACTTTAAATGACTAGTTCACATGAAATAATGGTCATATTTAAGGAAATCAAAGAAATGGTGAAATAGCTAAGTAGACTTAGAAAAGATTAAAAAGAATGGGAATCCTAGTGTAACAGGTAGGAGAAATGGGCACTGTCATTTATTGCTGGTGAGAGCATATATTGGTAAAGCCCTTGTAAGGGGCATGTCTCTCAGAAGCCTTCAGACAGTCTTATCCTTTGAATAATCCTACTTCCAGGAATTTATTTTTAAAACACACAGCAATCAACTACACAAACAAGTGTTCATTAAAATGATGGTCAAAAAACATTGGAAACAAGTGAAATGTTCAACAAGAGGAAATTTGATGTATAAATTATGGCTCAACTTTTCAGTGGAATGTGTAGTCACGTGTGTACTAACATGGAAAACAGTTACTATGTTGTTGAGTGAAAAATGGCCAGTTGTGTCTGGCTGGTGTGGTTCAGTTGCTGAGCGTCGACCTATAAACCAGGAGGGAGGGGTTCAATTCCTGGTCAGGGCATGTGCCTAGGTTTCAGGTTCACTACCTATGCCTCTAAGACAATGGTTCTCAACCTTCTGGCCCTTTAAATACAGTTCCTCATGTTGTGATCCAACCATAAAATTATTTTCATTGCTACTTCATAACTGTAATGTTGCTACTGTTACGAATCGTTATGTAAATATCTGATATGCAGGATGGTCTTAGGCGACTCCTGTGAAAGGGTCGTTCGACTGCCAAAGGGGTCGCAACCCACAGGTTGAGAACCGCTGCTCAAAGGGATATCTGTCAAAGGAAACAGTCAATGTGTCTCTCTCACATTGATGTTTCTCTCTCAACCTCTTCCATCCCTCCCTCCTCCCCCTTCCCTCCTCTATTCCTCTCTTCCAATCTCTCTGTAAAGCAATGGAAAAAATACCCTCTAGTGAGGATCAAGAAAAGAAAAATGGCCAATTTTGGTATAACATGTTAGGATTCCTTTTTATGATTTAAAAAATATATTTGTGTTGATTTCAGAGAGGAAGAGAGAGGGAGATAGAGATAGAAACATTGATGAGAGGAATCATTGATCAGCTGTGTCCTCCATGCCCCCTACTGGGGATGGAGCCCCAAACCCAGACATGTGCCCTGACTGAGAATGGAACCTGTTACCTTTTGGTTCATAGGTCAATGCTCAACCACTGAGCCATGCTGGCTGGGCTATGAAAAATATTAATACTGGTTATTTCTGGGAAGAATTTTAGATTATTTTACATTACTGATACTTTAAAAAAAATATATATTTTTATTGATTTCAGATAAGAAGGGAGAGGGAGAGAGAGATAGAAACATCAATGATAAGAGAGAATCACTGATTAGCTGACTCCTACATGTACCCTACTGGGGACCAAGCCCACAACGCAGGCATGTGCCCTTGACGAATCGAACCCAGGCCTCTTCAGTCCACAGGCTGACTCCACTGAGCCAAACCAGCCAGGGTGATACTTTTTTTTTAATCCTCACCCAAAGACTGAGGATAATTTTTTTATTGGTTTTTAGAGAGAGTGGACGTGATGGTGCAGGGGGAGAGGAAAACATCTATGTGTTAGAGACACATCAATTGGTTGCCTCCCACTCACACACTGAGCCTGCAATCAAGTTGCATACCCTTTTTTTAAAAAAATATATTTTATTGATTTTTTACAGAGAGGAAGGGAGAGAGATAGAGAGCTAGAAACATCGAGGAGAGAGAAACATCGATCTGCTGCCTCCTGCACATCTCCCACTGGGGATGTGCCCGCAACCCAGGTACATGCCCTTGACCGGAATCGAACCTGGGACCCTTCAGTCCACAGGTCGACACTCTATCCACTGAGCCCAACCGGTTTCGGCAAGTTGCGTACCCTTGACCAGGAATTGAACCCAAGACCCTTTGGTCCACAGACTGATGTTCTAACCACTGAGCAATAGGCCAGGGCTATTAATACTTTTTTGGTATTGTTCGTAAATGAGTATGTGCTCATTTGAAAACATTATGAACCTCTTTATAAACTTAAGTAAAATTTACTGTATTTTCTTTACAAAATGAAAATAGCTTCAAGTGACAAAAAGTTACTAATAGAATGTGTGAGTTTATATTCTGAAACAGAAAAATGTCTAGAATGCTATTATACTAAGATTATATGTTGATATTTGTTTATGTGGTAATATGGGTAGGTCGCGCTTTTATTTTGCCTTTCTGTATTTTCTAAATTTTGTACATTAATATGCTTGTAATAGAGTGATAAACACAGTGTTTTGTTTCTGAACAGATAATTAAAGTTTTCTTTCAAACCACATTTACCATTGATGTGCTCTATTTTATTTTTATTTATTCTTTTAGAAGATTTTTTATTGGGCCTGGCCAGTGTGGCCCTGTGTTTGAGTGTCTACCTATGAACCAGGAGGTCACAGTTCAATTCCCAGTCAGGACACATTGCCCGGGTTGCAGGCTCGATCATGATGTGGAGTGTGCAGGAGGCAACCGATCAATGATTCTCTCTTATCATTGATGTTTCTGTCTCTCTCCCTCTCCTTTCCTCTGTGAAATCAATAAAAATATTAAAAAAAAATTTTTTTTTTAAAGATTTTTTAGTAGTTTTTACAGAGAAGTACTGATATGAGAGAGACATAGATTGGTTGCCTCCCACGTGGACCTGACCTGGGCTGGGGATTAAACCTGCAGCCCAGGTATGTACCCTTGACCTGTGATTGAATCTTCGAAATTTTGATGCATAGACCAACGCTCTAACCACTGAGCAGAGCAGTCAGGTAATTCCCTGTTGTTTTATACAGTTTGTCATCCTATATAATAAAAGGCAAATATGCAAATCGAATGAATGGCGGCACAACCGATTGCTATGACACACACTGACCACCAGGGGGCAGACGCTCAACGCAGGAGCTGCCCGCTAGTGGTCAGTGCACTCCCACAGGGGGAGCGCCACTCAGCCAGAAGCTGGGCTCACAGCTGGCGAGCACAGCGGCATTGGTGGGAGCCTCTCCTGCCTCCCTGGCAGCATTAAGGACCCCTTGGGTGTCCTGGACTGTGAGAGGGTGCAGGCCAGGCTGAGGGACCCCCCCCCCCCCCCCCCCAACCGCAATGGGACTCTAGTTTAAAATAAGATGCAGTTTACATATATATTTGTACAAAGTAAGGTATGCCTGTATTTATTCATTTATTTTGATAAATTAGAAAGAATTTTCTCTAAGTCAAACACCTAATATGTTGGAGGCATCTAATATCATGTGTTTGACAAAATTAGTAACGAAGGAAGCAAGGAAGAGTGGTAAGAAGAGCAGAGAGCAACAAAATAAGTTGCTGGGGAAACATTGCATACTCCTTGAGGCATATTGTGGTTTTTCAAAAGTTGCAATAGCAGGGCTTCTCTGCCTGAATGTGATTTCTTAACTTTCATTGTTTCCTTCATTTTGTTTTAACTTCCTGTTCTCCAGGAATAGGACCAAGAAGTAATTTGAAAGTAGGCTTTTGCAACTGCCCTAACCATTATGGAAAGATTGCAAGTGCTTTACTTTTTCTCTTCCTTGCTTCATTTGATTCCCATTTCCTATTCATCACTCTTTGATTATGTTTTGTTATGATTTTCTTCCTGATGATCAGCTTGTTGCTCCAGAAAAAGCTTCATAAGTTTGAATTGGCCTGTTTGGCCAACCTTTGTCCAGAGACTGCTGAGGAGTCCAAGGCTCTGATCCCAAGGTTAGTACTGGGTATGATAAATTTGATGTGTTTTGTATATATTCCTACAACTGGAATTACTGTCTAAATGGGTGCATTTAAAATCTGGATAGACATAAACATTGAGAGGGCCTCTTGTAACAGTGTGAGAATGATGATTTTGTAGCAAACCCATTGTTAGCAGAAGTGTGGAATAGCTGAAACTCTCAAACACTGATGGGGTGCAAATTAGTACAGTCACTTTGGAGAGCAATTTGGCCACATCTAATATAGGTAAAGGTGAATATATCTCATGACCCCAAAATTTATTCCTGAATGGATGCCTTCAGACCCACTCATTGGTTTAGAAGTAGATGTGTATTCCAGGGTATATTGGTGTGTGTTAGTGATAGCAAAAACATCACATCAGTGTATAGGCCAACTAGAGACTGGATAGATATAGAGACTGGTAAGAAAAGCTCTCACAGAAAGCAACTGAAGGTCCGGAGACATATCTCAGCTCTAGGGGTGGCCACTGAGAGCTCTGGGGTCTAAACCCAAAGCTGGGCCCCCAGCAGAGAGCACCAGAACTGAGAAAGGTGCCCGCGTAACTGGCTGTGAAAAGCAGCAGCGTTACAATACGCCAGGGAGAGAGAGCTAGAAATGCAGGCACCCTCTTAAAGGTCCAATACACAAAATTTTGTGTGCAGCCACTCACATTGGGCTCCTGCAGAGGGAGGGCAGAGTGGACTAGAGATGTGGGGGCTCTGGATTAGAGCTCAGGAGCCAGACACCCTGGTTTCCTGTGATGAGTTGTTCCCTCATGCTGTGGAGGACATCTTTCTCAGGCAGACCTTTGCTATCCAGGTGGCTTTTGCCTGGGGTGGGGGGGTGGTGGTGGGGAGACAGTTGACCCACCCCATTGGGAAACCCCTTGCCCCACCCTCTGTAGTTTCTGAGGCCCATTAAGAACTGAGAACAACAATTAGCCTCCGGGCAGAAGCAGTTACCTCACCCAGTTGGGAAACCTGTCCCCCAACCTGTGGATAATTGCTTGAGGTTACTCAAGACTGAATCCAATCAGTCTGCAGGCAGAGGCAGGTCTCTGGAGGCTTTGAGTCTGGCCTGAGCTAATGAGGAAGAAATAGCATTTGACACTGTCCTGCAATAGAGATTGGGAGGCATAGTAGATATAACTAATACACAGTCACAAACTCAGGCAGCCAAAATGGGGAGACAAAAAACCACCCCCAAATGAAAGAACAAGAGAATTATCTAGAAGAAAAGCTAAATGAAATGGAGATAAGAAATTTATCAAACAGAGTTTAGGATAATGATGGCAAAGATGCTAAAGATCATGAGAAAAGAAATAGTAAATATGAAGAATGACATAACACTAAAAAAGAGCACAATGGAATGGAAGGAATATACAGCAGAATAGGGGAAGCCAAGGATCAGATCAGTGAATTAGAAGATAGGGTAGAAAAAATAACACAATCAGAAAACCGAAAGAAAAAAAATAGGAGGACAGCTTAAGGGAGCTGTGGGGGCAACATGAAACAAGAATGTTGGCATAATAGGTGAGCCATAAGGGCAAGAAAGTGAGCAAGGGATAGAGAACATGTTTGAAGAAATAATGGTAGAAAACTTCCATAACCTGGTGAAGAAAAATGTCACACAAGTTCAGGAGGCAAAAAGAGTCCCAAGCTAGAAGAACACAAACAGGCCCATGCCCAGACACATCATAATTAAAATGCCAAAAATTAAAGAAAAACGGAATTAAGGCAGCAAGAGAAAAGCAATTTGTTACTTACAAGGGAGCTCCCATAAGTGTGACAGTTAATTTCTCATCAGAAATTCTACAGTCCAGAAGGCTGTCATGAAGTACTCCAAGTAATGAAAAGCAAGAATCTGAAACCAAGATTACTATATCCAGCAAAGCTATCATTCGAAATAGATGGTGAAATAAAGATCTTCCTTGACAAAAAAGGCTAAATGTATTTGTCACCACCAAATCAGCACTACAAGAAATGCTAAAAGGACTGCTGTAATAATAAATAGACAAAGGCATACAGAAGTAAATTTGCAATAAATAAGTACCTATCCTATATAATAAAAGCCTCATATGCAATTTGTTCGACCAGGGGGCGGGGCTGGCCGGCCAACCCCTCCCCCTGGCCAGCCCCAC